AGCTCCTAATACCTATTGCAAGTGGTGGTAAATGTCCATGGAGGGAGAGCGGGGGCCGTGTCGTGCAGCGTGGGGCTGGTGGGCAGCACTGGCAACTCCGTCCCATGGCCTCCCCGTGGTCTGGGGAAGGCGTTTGGGATGAGAGAACCACTCTTGGGGCTGTGGATGGTGTGGTCTTCCCCGTACAACCCAGAAGCGGTTTTGTACCCAAAGTCCACAGACGGTGGCAGAGCAGCCCGTTCCCTGGGGTGGCTCTGAGGGCACCGCGTCCCCATTTGCAGCGATGCTCCAGCAGCGCCACATCTATGTTTTACAATGCAATCTGATCACTAGGGTTTGGGGCCTCCGGTGCTAACGCTGACGATTTAGGGACCTCTGGGACTGCGCCGGTGCGCAGGATTAGTGAGCGTGAACCCAAACTGCAGCTCTCGCAGGAGTCGGCAAGTACCAGCTGGTGCCGACCCAAGCCCGCAGCGACAGAAAATGCAAAAGAAGGGAGCAAACACACCCAGGCAGAGGGAAACGGTTAAAAAGAAGCCTTCATTTCGCATGGGCGAGGGGGTCATCTTCATCTTTCCTCCAGCTCTTTTCAAGGCTGGGGCTAAGTGGCACCGGGCAGGCTGAGATAGCTGCCCCAAACCAGAGGGTTTATGACTCAAAGGCTCGAGTTTAGCACTTTAATCATCGTGTAAATCTTCAAAAATTTAAAAAAAAAAAAGAAAGAAAAGTTAAAAATACTTTTCAAAAAGAGATACTTTATTAAGTTATTATTTCATAACATACTTATTATTACTAATTATGACTATGCCCAGTAAAAGTCAATGGCACTGGAGCAACAAAAGTACCTGGCTATGAATAAAAACATCAGTAACTATTCAGTTAAGTTCAGATCTGATGCTAACAGTGGCATATTTTATCCCTAGTACATATAAAACAGTGTAATTAGGTTTAGGGTTGTTTTCTTCTCCATACAGTTCCAGCCCTCTCTCCTTTGCAGGTAAACCGATAAAGCTTTGACACCTTTGAAGGCAGTGAAAAATACGTCCATGGTGCATTAAATAGCAATTAAGCATCTTTTGGGTTCAGAATCATGTTATATCAGATCTTGCCCGCTCGCAAGGGCACTCGGGTGGACGTGGAGCTCAGCATCGTCCCACCCAGCTCCATCCCTGCAGACGGCAGCAGAATGGCCTTGCAGTGACACCCTGCACTCTTCAGCACTTCAGACAACTTAATAAAATGATTCTTTCAGTTCGAAAAGCCTTGGGTAACATTTCTTGCCATCGTTAGTACCGTGTTCTCCATCCTCTTTTGTTTCAGGCAGTTTGGCCATCTCCGTGCTTGTCTGCACATTAATCAAAAAATATTGCTCTATGCTGCTTATGCCCTGATATTCTTCACTTTCTCAGTCTGGGGGGAAAAAAAATAATATCATTTTTAGCAGTCCTTTTTAGGCAAGAGGAGCAGCTCAGGTCAGCACTGAGTGTCTGAATCAAGGCGTAAGGGACCTGTAAAACACAGGTTGCATCTTTCTCCCGTAGCCCATGCCCATTGCCAGCAGGATGGATGCTAACACAGCAGATCTCCAGAATAGTTAGTTTCATGGCTAGATTTCACAAAAGCAAAGGGTTTGTGGGTTGTTTTCTTCCTCCCCTTCCTCTTACTACGTCTCAGCGAGCAGTCAGGCTCTCTTCCCATTTCTGCCCCATTTGAACTTTCAAGGTTTGTTCTTCAAGTACAGCACCAAGAAATCAAATTTAGTAACACCCCTTAGGAAAACAAAAAAAAATTTAAAAATCCATGTTCCATGTCTGTTAAGACTTAAAACCCCATTATTTTTTTTTTTTTTTTTTAAGGGAGAGATTTTCAGTCTTCCCTATCCCCATACATCTTCCAGCCCCCAGGACCTGGACCTGCGTTAGGGCTTTGGCAGCCTGAGAAGTCACAGTATTAATTTAGTGCCAACAGCAGCTCAGAAGCACAGATAAATGGAAGATGGGTGGGAGCATTGGGACTCCCCGAGGAATAAATAGGCAGCGTCACTGTGGTCCCTCCTGTATTCATCTCCCCACTGGTGGATGCACCATATTTCAGAAATGTCTGAATTAACATTTTCAACCTCAAAAAAAAAAAAAAAGCATATGGCAAGTTGAACATGTATTGATCAGAGTTGGCAAGGATGGGATGTGGCACGGATGTGGATGTTCCCTTGACTGTGAACTGCCCACCGCGTCCAGACCTGGACCTCATGCTCTGATCCAAAGAGAGAAGATACAGAGAAATACATTATTTCAGCACGTGACACATAATTCAGTAACACCCTCAGCAAAAGGCATCTCAGGATGTGCTTCCCTGACCCTTCTGCTCTCTAATGAGATTATTCCCGCCCAAAAAAAAAAGGAGAAAAAAACCCTTATTCTAGGCAAATTGTAGAGCTAATAGAAGAAGCAGGGTTTGGTGGACAAGGAGGGTTACCACCTCTTGTTTACAGAATCCCAGACTGGTGGGGGTTGGAAGGGCCCTCTGGAGCTCCCCCAGTGCCACCCCCTGCCAGAGCAGGGGCACCTCCAGCAGTGGCACAGGACAGCGTCCAGGCGGGTTTGGGATGGCTCCAGAGGGGGAGACTCCCCCACCTCTCTGGGCAGCCTGTGCCACTGCTCTGCCGCCCTCACAGCAGAGAAGTTCCTCTTCAGGTTGAGATGGATCTTCCTATGCTCAAGTTTGTGCCCGTTCCCTCTTGTCCTGTCACTAGGCACCACTGAAGACAGACTGTTCCCATCCTCCTGGCACTCTCCCTTTGAGGATTTATCAGCGTTGATAAGATCCCCCCTCAGTCTTCTCTTCTCCAGACTAAAAGGCCCCAAGTCCCTCAGCTTTCCCTCATCAGAAAGATTCTCCAATCCCCTCATCATCTTTGTAGCCCTTTGCTGGACCCTCTCCAGCAGTTCCCTGTCCTTCTTGACCCGGGGAGCCCCAAACTGGACACAGTACTCCAGATGTGGCCTCACCAGGGCAGAGCAGAGGGGGAGGATGACCTCCCTCCACCTGCTGACCACACTCTGCTTGATGCCCCCAGGATGCCATTGGCCTTCTTGGCCACCAGGGCACATTGCTGGCTCATGGGCATCCTGTTGTCTACCAGGACTCCCAGGTCCCTTTCCACAGAGCTGCTCTCCAGCAGGTCAGCCCCCAACCTGTACTGGTGCATGGGGTTACTCCTCCCCAGATGCAGTGCTCTACGCTTGCCCTTGTTGAATTTGCTAAGGTTCCTCTCCACCCAACTCTCCAGCCTGTCCAGGTCACATGGAGGCATGGGTAAGGACCTGGTGACATCCCCCTCCCCAGTTTTACCTTTTGAGGGTTCAAAGGAGGATAGAGTAAGAAAGCAGCACATAACTCATTGGGGTTTGAGCCCCCACAGTGGTAGGGGACAATATTTAAGGGGTCCACATGAGCTGGATCGGTGTCTGTGGTCCACTCCTTCAGGTACTCCCCCTAACAGCTACAATTGCAGCATCACAGGTTTTAAAGGTCCCATTCCATATCCATTTACAGGCCAATTTGCTATTCATTCATCTAATTGTTGCTTTTTTTTTTTTTTGAAGGCCTTTCTGGAGGCTTAACCATTAGTTTTATTACATACCTTACGTCTCTGCAGCACTGGGCTAAGAAGAAATAAAGCAGCATCCCCGAAGCCCGTGGCCCTGCCCCAGCCCTGAGGTGACACAGGCTGTATGAATGCTGATGGCTTCAGTGATTTGAAGAGAAAATTGAATCACTCTTCCAGCTGTGCTATGGTTTCCCTGCGAGGACTTTTTCTGCTCTGCGGATATCGATTTCAAGGAGATGCTTTCCCAGAAGCACCATCAGAAAGCCCCTCTCCGCTGCAGCCGGTGACAATATCGGCATAAAGGCATTAATCTTATACGGGAAGTTATGGGGAGGACGGGACGTGGCACAGTTTTTACTGTAATTTCTGCTGAAATGAGTTTTCAGGGAGGCAAATACTATTTTCTTTTCATTTTCTGCTTAAGTTCTTTCAGAAATTAGTTTCACCCCAAGTTGTAGTACAAGAAATATCATTAAAAAAAAAAAAAACAAAAACCACAACAAACAAA